CTCTCTCTCTCTCTCCGTACGTCCATTTCGATGTAATTGAATAAAATATAATTCGCAAGTTTTCGTGACTAAATAAGGCGAAAATTTGGAATGTGCCAGAATGAAAGACAATAAGAGCATACAAACAGGCATTGGCGGTATTCATAACGTCACAATAACAATAACGTCTGAGTCTTTGCGAAACGGTTCAACTTCTCCATTGTCTTCTCGCTAAATCGACTTGGCTTCTGTCGATTTACTAGGCCGTAACGACGGTATAAATGATATCGTATTTAAAACTTACAGCGCAATCTCTAATTTTCATATGCGACGAGCTACCGCGTCTCGCGTACAGTCCATAGTTGTAGGAACGATTATTTCAATCCCGATTATTGTAACGTTACATGAAAACTCGTTACTATTCAATTTATATACGTGCGATATTAATAACATTTCTTCCTCTTGATGACGCATGCTTTCTTACCATACGCTGTTTCGCTTTGAGATTTCTGCAAGTTCAGTTGCAATTCGATATCTCAACTAAAGTGATCTCGCTGCTGATAATAAGCATCGGATTCAGTATTGAATAATGTTACACGATGACAGAGCGTAATGGGGGGTACGAGAAGATGCGAACGAAGAGGCAAGGTCAGCGACATGAGCGAGGAAAGTCGCGAGCGAGGAATGACTCACCGTCAACGCTGCGTTTCCTCTTGATGCTGTTGCCGTTGGGATCCTGATGATGCGCCGGGATACCCAGGATGCCACTGATGCTGTAGGCGTTGGGAGCGGTGGCAGCGGGATGACCTGCCGCCGTCGCAGGTGCATGTGCTATCACCGACACGGAACCACCCGATCCCGGCTGACCTTGCTGCTGACCTTGCTGCTGCTGCGCCTGCTGTTGCTGATGCGCGTGCTTCGCCTTCTCTGCCGCTTTATTCCTCACGATCCTGCGAACAATCGACGATCGGCATCGTGTATAGGAAAATCGCCGTGTCACAATCATCCCGTTCTCCGATTAAAAAGTCCGAATAAACGATAATAAGCTGGTAATAAATCGCGACAGCGCCTGCCTGATTTGGATCTCAGCGTTGAAAACGCTTTCGGCAAAACTTTCGAAACGCAGATTCATCCGCGCTGCACGCGCTGCGTATCTATTAATATACAGTGACTTCATAGTGCAACAATGGAGTGGCACAAAGTACCGATTGTTAATTCCGAGTCCGCTCCGTCGGGCGCGGAGCGATTCGCGTTCGAGATTG